AATTCTCTACTGCTGAACCCCCAGGGAAGCCCCCTGGAGGTCCGGATGGAAGTGGAGGTTCATGGCCAATTGAGGTGAGGGTGGGGCTGAAAGTGAAAGGGTGTGTATCAGTTACTTAGTGGACTTTTACTCTGTGCTTACCATGTGCCAGTGAATACTCCATGTGCTTCATATGTAGTAATTATTTTGGTTCTTGTGGCAATTCTGAACTGGGTGTCCTTAGAGATCAGAGCCCCCATGACAAGGATGGAGGTCTGATGGCATCATGTATGGGATCACACAGCTTGGAAATTCCAGGCTCCTGATTAAGAACACTGGCAATATGGGGTGGGGGAAGGGTAGTTGTTTTGTTTTCTCTTGAGATATAATAGCCATATATATTGTATTAGTTTCAGACGTACTACATATGACATGATATTTGCATGCATTGGGAAATAAATCACCACAATAAGTCTAGTTAGCAGACATCAGCATACATCATTACATTTCTTTTTCTTGTGATGAAAATACGACAATTTTGTATTCCAAAAGTTGTCTAAATATGACAATTTCGAATTCCAAGTCTTAGCCATAATGCTGCTCCGCAGCCTTGCTTGTGTGAAATTGAGTGCATGGCTGCAAATGTGACCATGTGGTCTGTGTATGCCTGGAGAAGTCCACAAAGAGAACACATCAGACTTCTCTGGCCATCCAGTGGTAAAGACTCAGAGCTTCCAATGCATGGAGTGTGGGTTTGATCCCTGGTTGGGGAACTAAGGTCCCACATGCCACATGGCCAAAGAAAAGAGAACTCATACGGAGTCCCAGGGGTATTACACCAGAAAAAAAAAAAAACAACAACAATAGACACCAATGAACATGGATGTAGGTAACTAGCCGCTACACCTAAGATGGGGTGGGAGGGGTGAGGACAAGCAGAGGCAAAGCCTGGTGGAATCAGGAAGGACTTGGTGCTTTTCACTGAGAACAAGAGGGAGCCATAGAGGAAATTTTAAGTGGAGCAGTGGAGTCTGACCTAAGCAGATTAGCATTTTAAAGAGGTTGACTGAATAGGTGTGATAAGTGGATCCTTGTTGTTCCTGTTTAGACACACTGAGTCCTGTCCAACTCTTTTGAGACCTGGTGGTCTGTAGCCCCCCACGTTCCTCTGTCCATGGAATTCTCTGAGCAAGAATGTTGGAGTGGGTTACCATTTTCTTCTCCAGATCTTTCCAACTCAGGGATCAAACCCAAATCTCTTCTGTCTCTGCATTGGCAATTATCACTGAGCCAGAAGCCCTGATTAGGGGGAGGGCAAAGATGTGTTCAGTGTTCTCCTATAGGGTTTTTCCTAGAATCATCTTTGCCTCATTCACTGATGAGATCAGGGTGGCTAATCTGATCAGATCACCAGGTGAGGTTCACACAAAGCATGATATCAGTTAACAGAAATTAATTAGGTATTTGGAAGCCCACATATCAATCCCAACAAACACCCCCACTTTCTAATCTTGTGGCATGAATTTACTTAAAAAAAAAAAAAATCCAGAGACTTCCCTGGTAGTCCAGTGGTTAAGATTCTGCGCTTTCACTGCTGAAGGCATAGGTTCAAGTCCAAGACCCATGGCTGAACCAAAAAAATAAATAAATAATCTTTGAAATGTTAATCGTATAGAAAAATAAAAGAAAACACAATTAGAACAATAATATAGTAAGAGGATTAAATCTTTTGTTTGACATTCCAAGGGATGTGCCTATGGTTCTTGTTTAGTCACTCAGTCTTGTCTGACTCTTTGCAACCCCATGGACTATAGCTCGCCAGGCTCCTCTCTCCATGAAGTTTCCCAGGCAAGAATATTGGAGTGGGTTGCCATGCCCTTCTCCAGAGGATCTTCTTGACCCTGGGATCAAATTTGAGTCTCCAGCTGGGCAGGCAGTTTCTTTACCTCTGAGCCACCAGGGAAGCCTGTGCCTATGGTTGCCCAGATCATATGCTTTACAGTTACAAATCAGTATTGAGCAATGCAAGCTTCACCTCTGAATCCTACACTCCAGTGGAAAAGGACAGGCATTAGAGACAGATCAATATAAAATTATTACTTTGATAATATCAGTGAAGCAAAGACAAATGTTTTTCATAAGGAAGGTAATTGTTGATAGAAAAAGAGAGAAGAGGTGAAATTAAAGGGAAAATTTTTAAAGGAATGTATCATCAAGCTGACACAGGGTATAGCTGGGCTGGGCCTGCAGACTTGTGTCTGCTGTAGGAGTTTCCAACCCAAGATGATCATGTGTATGGATTCCAGCCTGCCTATTTCATTCACTTTATTGTCCTTTTTTTGTAATAGTTTGTTTTCTTATAATAACTGAAGGGATATCTTTGTATTGATACTAGATCATTGCCTTCATTCAGTTCAGTCGATTCCAATTATGATTTAAGACTCATTTATTATTTTAAAATAATTATTTTGCTTTCTTTATTTGACCACACTGGGTCTGAGTTGTGGTATGCAGGAGGATCTTGTTCCCTGGCCAGGGATGGAACCCCGACACCCTACATTGAGAGTGTTGAGCCTTAGTCACTGGACCACGAAGGAAGTACCCCCATTTCCTGTTTAAATCTTTTTAAAAACTATTTACTTGTTTATTTTTATTTTTTGGTTGCACTGGGTCGTTGTTGCTCTGCATGGGCTTTCTCTAGTGGTGGTGCACAGGCTTCTCACTGCAGTGGGTTCTTCTGTTGTGGAGCACAGGCTCCAGGCTCACAGGCTTCAACAGTTGCAGCACGCAGGCTAAGTAGTCATGGTACCCAGGCTTCATTGCTCTGTGGCATGTAGAATATTCCTGGACCATGGATCGAACCTGTGTGCCCTGCATTGTGAATGTTTTCATTGAAATGTAATGCACATACAGAAAAAAGAAAAAGTGAAAGTATATAGCTTGGTGGATTTTGACAGAGAAACATTCCTGTATAACTCCCTCTGAGATCAAGAGGTAGACTGTCGCCCACTAAAACTGGAAGTTCAACATCCCAGGAACTCTCTTATTAGTCCCAGGCAAACTGGGATGGGGTCCTCCATAAGTACCTATTCCAGGATCTACCAGTGTTTCCAAAAATGTAACCAACATCCTAAATAATATTGATAATACTTAAATGCTTTTCAATGAACATGAATGAGAAGAAACAAAATGTTTAGTTTAGTGCCTGGATTATTCCATTTAACACTGTGTTTTGTGATTATTCTATGTTGTTGAATAGAGGAGTTCATTTCTTCTCAGTCTATAAAATATACCTTGACATCAATTAATTGTAATCTGTCCCATTTAATGCTGGACACTTAGATTATTTACAGCATGGAAATATTATGAATTATGTTGATATAAACATTCTTGTATATGTCTGTGATGCACATGAATATATTTGTCTGTTGAGTACAGGCAGAGAAGTAAAACTGATGAGTCACAGGGAATGCATAAATACAGATTTATTACATACTAATCAAAGCATTTCCAATGTGAGGTCTCACCAGCAGTGATTGAGAGTTCCAGGTCCTCCAATCCATGCCACAGCTAACTATTTTATTCTAGTGCTTCTGGGAGGTGGTGATTTTGTAGCTTGTTGTTGTAGTATTATTTTACATTTCTGGGATTACTAATAATGTTGCTATTTTCTCCATTTGTTTATTCACTAAATATCTAGTAGAATTGGTCCATGAACTCAGTTGAACCTGGATTTTTCTTGTTTCTTTTCAACTATGACAGTGTTGTAGTTAACTACATATTTCTTCTGTCTCTAGCTTTGCAGTCCTTAAACATCCACCGGTTGTTGAAAGAGATTGCCCGAGAAACAAGTCAGTGGAGACTGAATCCCTCAAGTTGCAGCTCTCTGAGAATTGTTGTTAAGAATGGCTTCAGACCGCAGAATCTCCTTTGAAGGTGAACCATCCAGGAGGGATCCTGGGTCAGAAAATTCACCCACCCAAGGATCTGCTGTCCAGGAGGAAGAGGGGATCCCTGAGTTCCCCAGCACTCAGCTCAACTTACTTCGAGACAGCAATAACTCAAGTGCAAGACAAGAACTGCAAAGACTCTATCACTTATTTCACTCATGGCTGCAGCCAGAAAAACACAGCAAGGATGAAATAATTTCTCGTCTGGTCCTGGAACAGTTTATGATCAATGGGCACTGCAGTGACAGGTCCACTTTACAGGAGAAATGGAATGCAAGTGGCAGAAACCTGGAGAAACTCATGGAGGATCTGACGGACGATGGCATGAAGACACCCGGCTTAGTAAGTAGGGGTTCTGACCCAGAGTGAGGGACGTGGGAGTGTCAGGAATAAGTAGTCTGTTGGAGTTACCTGGAAGTAGAGAAAGAGTTATTATAGATGGTAACCAAGCTTTGTTCACAGGTCCACGTCCACATGCAGGGACAGGAAGCCCTCTTTTGTGAGAATATGCCCTTAAGACAAGTCATCATTCACTTCACAAAACAGTTGTCGACAGGAACCCCAACAAGAGAGAATGCGGGGACAACCTCCTGGACGCCTCAGGATACGTCCCTAGAAACAGGACAAAGTGAGTGGGCAGAGCCCAGGTCCCAGAGGGGTGGCCCGTGTGGGCTCTTTCTTGGGTGTAACTTCACTGAGTCACTTTTTCGCCCCCTACAGAAAATGAAGATAAAGAAAATGATGGCAACTTTTCTGTGAAAACTCATCAAGTAAGTGACAGCATTACTGGTCCAAGCAATCAAATACCTTCCCTACTCATTGTCCAAGAAGAGAACCGTCCGAGGCTGGAAGAAGGAGGTGTTTCTCTGGAGAATCCACGAAGCTCCAGAAGAGGAGCAAGTCCAGGCCCCTTCAGGCTTCAGAACAGATTCCTGAAAGGACCCTCTTCTCAAGATGTCCTCATGGAGGTGGAACCAGACCAGGTCACCCCTGAGCCTGTTTCTACCCGTCAGAGCTCTGAGGGGCCTTCTGCACGTGGGGAACACCAGGAAAGATCCCATAGAGCCCCAGAAGTATACAGATGTGAGAGATGTCCCAAGACCTTCAGGCATTCCTCTCGGTTCAGAGTTCACCAGAAAAGACACAATAATGAGAGGACATGTATTTGTGCCGAGTGTGGCAAAGGCTTCTTCCAGGCATCAGACCTCCACGTGCATCAGAGGATTCATACAGGAGAGAAGCCCTTCGCGTGCAGCACATGTGAAATGGCCTTCACCCACAAAACCAACCTTCGGGCTCATGAGAGAACCCACACGGGAGAGAAGCCCTATGAGTGTTCCCTCTGCCAGAGATGCTTCCGCCAGTCCTCCACCTACCACCGCCATCTTAGGTTTCACCAGAAAACTACCCTCAAAAGTGCTCCACACTAAATTAAGCTTTCTAGGCTACAGCCCCAATGTAATGGATATAAATATGTATGTGAATATGTAGATTTCCATAGTATTTCTCTATTTAGAATATACTTTATAAAAATAATTAAAAGAAAAAAGAAAAAAAGTGGGGGCTTTCCTGACAGTCCAGTGGTTTGGACTCTGTGCTTCCACTAGAGGACATGGGTTCCATCCCTGGTCAGGGAACTAAGATCCCAAATGCTGCACCATGCCACCCAAAAAAAGTACAAATTAAAAAAATAGGAAAAAAAAAAAAAAGGAAAAGAAAAAAATGTTAAATAGAATTTTCTAACTGTATTTTCCATTTATTGTTTCACCCTCCCAAAATGCAAGTTTATGGAGGGCAGGGAATTTCTCAGTTTTGTTAACTTAAGTACCTTGGTTGCCTAGACAACTGTCTGGAACATTTCAAATAAACAATAATGTCTCTCAGATGAATGGATGTGTTATATTGGTGTTTATTCTTTAAACTTTAGACATGTGCCTCATGTGAGAAGACAGTTAGTTCCAAGCCCAGGACACAAACGCTAGCTCGAAGTGGTCCCTTCCGACTTTCCCTGCCTGCTCCCCTGTCCTCCACTCAACACCCTTTACCTCTAGTGCATCCACAGGCACCTAAAAAAGGTGAGCAGAGATGGAAACTCAGAAAAGAAGCCTAACCGAAGAAAGGAACACTTTATATTTTAAAAATATATAATCATTTCTTAAATTCAGTGGCTTAAAATTTGATAGGTAAACTGGACGTAAATAAGACTGGTACTGAAAGTTGCAGGATGCAATTTTATTAACAAATGCCAGAAAAGTCCAATGTGTTTCATTAATTTCTTCCAGTAGATGAAGCTTATGGGTGTAGAGGGAGCTTACTCGCAGAATCAGTTTGAAAGTTCACTTTGGAAAAAGTGGATTCTGTGTACAGCCAAGGCAAAGGCATATATGCCAGTTACTTGGAATTCATTTGTGAACTGGCTTCCAGTAGGAAATTAGGGTTCAGTTTCACTGAGAAACTGGAAGGTGCCACATAGAAATGCCTAAATTCTGGAATGGGTAAATCTGACATCTCTCTGATTCCCTTGATACTTCCATAGAAGGGAGAACTACCTGGGTGCGGATAGTGTGGAGATGCTCCAGATAAATGTAGAGAAGCCCTCCTTTAAAAAAAAAAAATAAACCATTGCCATCTCTGAAGGAAAGTTTTAGAAGAACGTTTTTTTTTAGAATAACTATTTTCTTAAATTATTTATTTTTTAGTTGTGCCGGGTTTTCATTTCTGCACATGGGTTTTCTCTAGTTCACTAAGCGCGAACATTTTCCTTGTGGTGCAAAGGCTTCTCATTGTGTTGGCTTCTCTTGTTGTGGAGAACCGGCTCCAGAGCACAGGCTCAGTAGTTGTGGCATACAGGTTTAGTTTTCCCTTGGCACGTGAACTCTTCTTGGACCAGAGATCAAACCCATGTTCCCTGCATTGGCAGGCAGGTTCTTATCCACTGGACCACCAGGGAAGTTCTATCCATCTTCTTGCCTGGGCTGTCTCCAGGTGTTTTGCTACTGTGAATATCCTTGAAAATCTTGGTATTAAAGAAGACTTTTCTTTGGAAAGACCTCTGGGATGTGGGCTGTGAAACATAGCAAAAATACGTGTACTGGAGTCTGCCCAGTTCCCCAGAACAGAGCTCTGAAAACTCTTGTATTTTCCTAAGAGATAAAAACACAAGGAGCATCTTCTGTTCTACTCTTTGGTTTTGGACTCTGGCTCCTGATACAGAAGCAGTTAATGCTTTGAAATTTCTAGGTTGAAAGGAGTGTCTTTTCATCTCTTAGTGAGGTGATGCTTGGTGGGTTCCTGGATGGCTTCAGGATGGGGGCTCATCACTGGAAAGACCAAACCATGATTAGAAACTTGGAACATTTAGCTCCACCCTGCCATACTTCTGGAAGTGGAGAGGGACTGGAGATTAAGTTAATCATGGATCATGTTTTTTTTAAGTTCAGGACTTGGAGTTCTTCCCAGCTAAAGAACACATCCATGTGCCAGGAGGGTGGCAGGTCCAAACTCTACAGGGATAGAGGCTCCTGTGCTCAAAGACCCTTCCCAATCTTTCTGTACCTCTTCATCTGAAAGTTCATCTGTATCCTTTGGCACTTCCCTTACAATATAGTAAACTGGTTAAGTAAGCATTTCCCTGACTTCTGGGAACTGATCTAGCAAATGATCAAATTCAAGGAGGGTGATCAGAGGAAACTGACTTATAACCAAATTGGACAGAACTTGTGGGTAATGGGGAACCACTCTTTGCAACTGGCCTCTGAAGTGGGAGCCAGTCTTGTGGGACTGAGCTCTTAACCTGAGGGATTTGCACTAGGTGCAGTTAGTGTCAGAAAGACACCCAGGTGGTGTCACAGAGAACTGGTTGTTGTGAGAAAAAAAAAAGTCACACTTCTGGTGTCAGAAGTGTTGAGTGTGGTTACTTGAAAAAAACATGTGATTTCCCTGGTGGTTAGTAGTTAAGAAGCTGCCTTACAATGCAAAGGACACTGGTTCAACTCCTGATTTGGGAAGATCCCACATGCCGCAGGGCAATTAAGTCGGTGCACCACAATCACTGAGCCAACACTCTGGAGTCTGTGCTCTGCAACAAGAGAAGCCGCCACAGTGAGAAGTCTGGGCACCTCAACTAGAGGGTAGACCCCATTCTCTGCAATAAGAGAAAGCCTGCAAGAAGCAACAAAGATGGAGCACAGCCAAAAATAAGAGTAAATTAAAAAAAAAAAATTCAGGCACACCAGTTTTCATAGCAACACTGTATACAGTAACGAAGATATGGAAGCCTCCTAAGTGCCATCAACACACGAATGGATAAAGAAGACGTGGGATATATTTGTTGTTGTTTGGTCACTCAGTCATATCAGACGTTTTGTGGCCCCATGGACCGTAGCCCACCAGCCTTCACTGTCCATGGGATTTTCCAGGCAAAAATACTGGAGTGGGTTGGCATTTCCTTCTCCAGAGGATCATCCCGACCCAGGGATCAAACCCACATCTTCTGCATTGCAGGTGGATTCTTTACTGCTGAGGCACCAAGGAAGCCTGTGGTATATATATTCGTGTCAGACTCTTTGCAGCTCCATGGACTGTAGCCCACAAGGCTCCTCTGTCCATGGGATTTCCCAGGGTTGCCATTTTCTAATCCAGGGGATCTTCCTGACCCAGGGATCAAACCCATGTCTCCTGTGTCTCCTGAATTGCAGGCTCATTCTTTACCTGCAGAGCCTATAAAAAGAATGAATTTCTGCCATTTGCAACAATATGGATGGACCTAGAGAGTGTTATGCTTAGTGAAATAAATCAGTGAAAGATACTCTGCTATCAGTCATGTGTGGAATCTAAAACTGAATTAAGAGAATGTATATGACAAAAAAGAAACAGACTTATAGAGAGCAAACTAGTTCTTATCAGTGGGGAGAGGGGAAGAGGGAGGAACAAGATAGGGGGAAAGATGCATAGAGACAAACTACTATGTGAAAAATAAATAAGCAACCAGGATATATTGTACAGCACAGGAAAATATAGCCACTATATTGTAATAACTTTAAATGAAGTATAATCTATAAAAATATTGGATCACCATTGTATTGAATCACACCTGAAACTAATATAATATGGTAAATCAACTATACTTCAATAAGAAAAAAATAGTGTCCAGTATGATAGCAGTGTAAGAGTAAAGGAAAAACAAGTATTTCTCAGATTCCTGGAGGCATACATTTTCAAATTGATTTTTATCCATTACCTCATCATTAGCATTATAAAAGACCTTGGATGTCCACGTCTTGCGAAATGCTTAGTATTGTGACTAGTCTGATTTTTTTTTCCCATTTATTTTTATTAGTTGGAGGCTAATTACTTTACAATATTGTAGTGGTTTTTGTCATACATTGACATGAGTCAGCCATGGATTTACATGTATTACCCATCCCGATCCCCCCTCCCACCTCCCTCTCCACCGGATCCCTCTGGGTCTTCCCAGTGCACCAGCCCCGAGCACTTGTCTTATGCATCCAACCTGGGCTGGTGATCTGTTTCACCCTAGTTGGATTTTAATACCTGATCTTTGTGTACAGTTTATTGGAATCAGCAAGTAAGATAAATAAAATTGTTTTTCCCAAAAAAGACTTTTTCTCTCCCTCCTCTACTTAGGCAACATGGTTGAGTTTTGCAGGTTAAATGCACAGTCGACATGTCTCCTTGACGAACCAGTTGCCTGTCCGACTTTACTTGGCAGCATACAGGCAGGGAAATCATAATAAACAGAAAGGGTGCAGGGCCTCCACCCAGCTCCAATCCCCGTGGTTACAGGCAGAGTTCAGCAATACAAAGGTGGGCTCCCGCTGGTCACCTCCTGTGCATTTGGCTGAGGTGGGGACTCTGCTGTGAGTGCAGATTAGCACATTTGGGGAGTTTGTTATTTTTGTCTGTGCTAGGTCTTCCTTCCTGCGACTGTGTTTTCTCTAGTTATGTGAACGGGTTCTACAGTGCGGGCTCAGAAGTTGTGGTACCCAAGCTTAGTTGCTCCGCTGCATGTGGGATCTTCCAGAACCAGGGATCGAATCCGCGTCCCCGCATTTGGGGGCGGATTCTTAACCACTGGGCAATGGGGAAGTCTGGGAGTTTCTGCAGACACAGCTTCTACAAAACTTAGGACCCCTGTAGCGAAAGCATGCAGTCTTAACCACTGGACCGCCAGGGAAGTCTCGTGACAATATTTTTATAGGGTGAACTTCATTTAAAGTTATTACAAAATAGTGGCCATATTTCTCGGTGCTGCGGTGAACTTTCCCTCGCTTAGGTGGCTGCCAGGCAGGTTTCTCTAACTCTAGCTTGCACAGCTGCGGGAACTACAGTAACCAGAGGGCAATGCGCCGAAAGGTGGCGGAGTTGAGCCAATTAAAGCCCATGACTGAAGTATTTCCCTGCGTTGGCTTGGCGTGGGGGCGGGACATCCGGCGTCTTCCTTGTGGCGGTCGGTTTGCCTTGTTTCAGGTCAGCTTTGGAGAAGGAAATGACAACCCACTCCAGTATTCTTGCCTGGAGAATCCCATGGGCAGAGGAGCCTGGCAGGCCATGGTCGACAGAGTCGCAGAAAGTCGGACACGACTGAAGCGACTAAGCTCGCACTCACGCAGGTCAGATTGCCAGCTTAGAGTTTCAGAGCCAGGGATCCTAAAAAAGAAGGAGCCGGAGGCTTCCACAGAGGCCGGTCCAAGATTTGGAGGCGGCACACCTCGTGAAAGTGAAAGTCGTTCAGTCGTGTCTGACTCTTTGCGACCCCATGGACTAGAGTCCATGGAATTCTCCAGGCCAGAATACTGGAGTGGGTAGCCGTTCCCATCTCCGGGGGATCTTCCCAACCCAAGGATGGAACCCAGGTCTCCCACATTGCAGGCCGGATTCTTTACCAGCTGAGCCACCAGGCGGCGTACCTCGGGGCGACCCAAAACAGGCTGAGATCCAGATCTCCGCGCCTTACAGACTCCGCTCCATCCAGAGTCCGATGGCGGCGGCGGCGACGCTGTGGGACCCACCACAGGTAAACGAAACGTTCGTCCTCCGAGCAGTCACCGCCCTCGCCACACCAGACTGAGTCCCCGAGTGCCCGCAGCCCAGGCTGTAAGGTATAGTTCAAGACGAGGCAATGAAGAAAGGAAGACGACCTCAGCGGAGACAGGTTACCTTATTCAGGCAAGAAGGGGAGACTGTCGGTCTAACGACCAGGCTGAGCACTTGCGGGATCAGGGAGGCTTCATATTTAAGGGGAGGTTTTGCAGAAACTACACGGGAAGATTTAGTCAGGTGGGGCATTCTGGGTATTCTTTAGCTGAGATGGCAGTTTGTGGATGAACAGGGGCGGGGCGGGGCGGGGGGAGGGGCGCGGTCCAGGGGGTGGAGGGTCCCGGGCTGACGCAATCTGCCCGGAGTATCGGGGTGGGACTTGTCATCCCCGAAGTCAGTTGGTTCAGCGAGGGCCCTTGAGGTCGATATATTCCAGGCCCGAGGACTCCTTCATTCCAGACCCTGAAGTCATAAAAAGATGGGGGGAAAGGGCGCCGTGTCTCTCCGGCTACTTCGTGCTGGGTCAGAGCGAGAGCTCTGGGTCTGGAACGGAGGATTGTACTAGGGCTCAGGGTCCCCATTTTCTGGTGTCGAGGTGAGGCTCTCAAGAATGATCTTGACCTGGTCTTGAAAGATGGCCCAAATCCGATCTTGGAGAAACCTTTGAAAGAGATTGAAGAAACAGGGTCCAAGTTAGAAGAGTAAGATAATAAGTAGTAATGGTCCCAAGAAAGGGAGCAACCAAGGGAGGGCCAGTTGGAACAGGCTTTGGGGAGTGGAAAGATTTTGTAACTCTTTTGCGGCGTTGGATTCTGTCTAAGTTCCCACATTGCAGGCCGGATTCTTTACCAGCTGAGCCACCAGGCGGCGTACCTCGGGGCAACCCAGAACAGTCAAGAGATCCAGATCTCTGCGTCTTACAGATCCTGCTCCATCCAGAGTCCGATGGCAGTGGTGACGACGCTAAGGGACCCACCACAGGTAAACGAAATGTTCATCTTCCCACCACCCTCGCCACACCAGACGGTAAATCCCCGAGTGCCCGCAGCCCAGGCTTCAGGGTCCAGGACAGTGGGGCGGTAGTGGCTGGAGCCTTGTGACTGACAGACAGTGTTGGAGCTCAGACATTTGAGCTCATCTGGGTCCTGGGCTCGCCAAGGGTACTAAGCGTCCTGAGCCAAGGATGCTAGCCGTGGTTGTCTCAAATTCTCAAATGACCTCCCTTTTCCCACAGATTTATGTATCATGGAATCACTGAGTGATTGTCGTTTGTGCAGTTTATTTCAGTGTCTCCTTAGTCCTCACCCCACTCTTATTATTCCAGGGTCTCTGGAATAATAGCGTCCTGGTATTGTTCTGCTACTCTTCCAGGCCTTGGGCCTGGGGACCATGAACACATTCCAGGCCTAGAGTTAGATAGAGTGGTTTCCATTGTTGGCAACCAGTCAAAGGAGATAAGGAAAGTACCAGTTTAGGCATAAATACCAGAAAGTACAAAGTCTTGGAGGCGGGGGTGGAGATGGTTCAGAGACCTGCAGGTATCTTTTCTTTCTCGTGGGACTGGGAGCACTAGAGCAGGAGGTAGTTCTGGAACTGCCTTGTGAGAATTGGATGTCTCCTCTGGAGGTGGTGGCTCAGATGGTAAAGAAATCTGGCCTGCAATGCAGAAGACCTGGGGTTGGAACCCTGGGTCAGGAAGATCCCCGGGTCGGGAAGATCCCCTTGAGTAGGGAATGGCAACCTACTCCAGTATTTTTGCTGGGAGAATTCCATGGACAGAGGAGCCTGGTGGGCTATAGTCCATGGGGTCGCAAAGAGTGGGACACTACTGAGCAACTAATACTTTCTGAAGGTGTTGGGAGCAATGAGAGATTTGGAGCAGTGGAGACAGGTGATCTGCCCTGGGCCGCAACACACTCTGTGTTGCTGCAGCATTGAGAACAGTACTGGCCTCAGGGTGGTCATCAGAAGGGCAAGGAGGAGGATACTGCTATAGTCTGGGTGAGGGTGCTAGTTGCTGGACCAGGGTGGTGGCCATGGGAGAAGTGGCTGGATTCTGGATTGGTGTTTTAGGTATGGCAACTTGGATTTTCTGATTTTGAGGTTGAGAGGAGGAGAGGTAGGAGTCATGGGTCAAGTGAAAGTTTGGTTTTTGCATCTGAAGCCTCCACCAACTGAGATGGGGAAGTCCATAGTCATGGTAATTTTCATTGGGGATATCAGAAGTTTTATTCTTGGCTTCTTAAGGGTATGAGATGTTTCAGAGGACAGTTGTGGGCATCTGGAACTCTGAGGAGGAGTTTGGGATGCAGGCTTATCCAAAAGGTAGTGAAGAGTGTGTAGACGAGGGAGGAGTTGTAGATCGTTTTATTATAGGAAATCCTGGTCAGGATGATAAAGGTAATCATAGCCCAGGAAGAAGAGGGAGGGTCTGAGGACTGGGTTTCTTACTTGAACCCCTGGTTATGGGAGGTGGGTGTCACTGCACAGGTGAGGGAGGTGGTCACAGAGAGGGTTGTGAGGGCAAATGGTTTGGCATACAACCAAGGTCTGTGAGGGATCAGTGGATGTGAGCTGGATGCAGAGGCATCATCAGTATTTCAAAGAAGCTGGTGCTCTACTAACTCACCAGGATTTTGTGGTAATCCTTTGTGGGACTTGGGGTGTTCTAGTCTGGCTACCAGATCAGATCTGAGACACAAATCGTCATCTAGAAAAGTCACAGGTGGTGCAAAGGGCAGGTGTCGGGCCTTGAATGAGGGTTAGGTGGTGAGAGGAAAGCTGTGACTGGTGAGGGTTCATCAAATGCAGTACAAGTGGAGGCAGCCATGGATATCTGAGATCTGATGTGGTTCTCAGTAGATGAATTTGAAGCAAGGGACACTCAAGGAAGGAGGCTTTCATAGTAGGACTCTAGGCTGCCTTTGTCAGTGTGGCCTTGACTGTCTCAGGTAGAACTTGATCGTGTTTGAACTTGGCTAGCATTGTATAGATCACATATGCTGAGTTATGAATGGAGATGCCAAGGAGATGATTATGGTGTAAAGCAGGAGGGTCCTGCTGCTGTGGGAGTGAAGTTGTGAGAGAGTTGTGGTGGGAAGAATACTGTACACATGGAGAGCGAACGTGAACTCCTGGCTCCAGGGCCTTGGTATTGGCCTAAGAGCAAAGAGTGAGAGCCCATGATTGGCGGTGTCTGGGAGAAAATCTGGGGAACACGGGCGGGAATTGCCTGAAAAGAGTGAGGTGTTGTGGCTTCATGTGCCAGGTCCAGAGCTTAGGTGACATCTATCTGCCCATCTGCCTGTTGTTTAGGGTTGACACAGTGATCAGCAGGACCATGATGAGACAGTGGGTATCAGTGCCACCTCAGCTTGGAAATCTTCACCATCATGGGGGAGGGACAGGCTAAGCAGGTGATGGACAGGGAAGGTAGTGAAGTTCGAATCCGAGGGAGAAAGCTGGTCATGAAATGAACTATCCCCCTCATGGCAAGGCTCTGTGACCTTTGAAGTTGCAGCATACAGCTGCGGGAGCAAAGTGTGGTTCAAAGAATGATGTGCTGGGGAGGGAGGTGGGAGGGAGATTCAGGATGGGGAACACATGTACAACCATGGCTGATTCGTGTCAGTGTATGACAAAAACCACTACAATATTGTAAAGTAATTAGCCTCCAATTAAAATAGATAAATTAACTAAAAAATTTTTGAAAAAGAAAGGAAAAAAAATCCTGCTTGCAAGGTGGGCCAGGAGCCTGGAATCTTGAATAATAAAGTTTCCTACACTGATAATAAAAAAAAAAAAAACAAAGAATGATGTGCATATGAAGAGGTAGTGTGAACTAACGGCCCAGGACCCTGTTGTGGGGATATAAGTGTGAAGGAAGGACCAGTGTCAGATCATTACACCCTCCCTGTGGCCAGCCTGTCTCCCTAACCTATGTTTGTTACACCCACCTTATTGACAAGAGGTCATGTGGCCTACATCCCAGACCCAGAGGTCAGATGTCACCTGTCTGCTCATCTGCCTGTAGATGTGGGAAAATACAGTATCAGTGAGAATATAAGGAGAGTGAGTCTAATGGCATCAAGGCCTGATATCTCCTCTGAGTTGTTGGGAAGTAGAGTGAGCAGAGGATAAATTGGTGGGGGGGGGTGGGGCAGGGCAGGGGGAATGCGGCACAAGAACTTGGAATCCTAGGGGAGAAGCAGATGGTGGAATGAGCTGTCTCCATTGTGACAGGGTGTGAATTTAAGGATGTGGCCGTTGACTTCTCCCGGGAGGAGTGGGCGCTCCTGGATGAGGCACAGAGACTCCTGTACTGCAGTGTGATGCTGGAAACCTTTGCACTTGTAGCATCCCTGGGTAAGGCCTTCACGCCCTTCCTCATGTTCTGAGATGATGTCCTGTCTCCCCCTCCCCCTGAACTAGCATTATCTTTCCCACAGCTGGGCCACAGGCTCTGCTGACTTCCTCCATTTTCTTGTCCGTTGTGCTGCGGATGCCGGCACCGAGCTGTGGGTAGTGCCCTGGGCAGTGGGCTCCCCAAGCAGCCCTAACACCGGTTGCCTCCAGAAGTGCAGAGATGGGTCTGGGAGTCGGGGGTCTAGCAGGCCGCCTAGCGAATCCCGTCCTGCGTGCCGCCTCTGGTGGAGTGACTATGTCCAGATCCCTGGCCTCCAATTCTTCCCCCTTCTCCTAGCTAAGAGTTCTTTGTGACTGCTTCTGCCAGGTCATGGTCATTACTTACATGAACCATGGACTGTTCCTGCAACTCTCTCCTTCAGTTGTTCTTTGTAATGTTTTCTTTACTGAATACTGTCAGTGCCACGTTGCTTGAGGCCAGTGCTGGCCACTCAATAAGACTTGCAGTATTAAGATTCTGAGTAGTTACACAGTGGAGGCTACAGAGAGAATCCTACTTCTTTCAGACTAGACATGGTGAGATGGTCTCAGCAGAGAGCCTCCTGGGCCTCGGGCATGGCAGCTGGGGGAGGACATGACATCACGGCTGTTTTCAGACCAACTCAGGAAGCTGCCCTGTGTTCAGTAGTGCCTTTGGCCATACCTCATTTCTGCCTTTTCCCCATACCTGACACTCTGCTGACTTGTCATTTCATCTGTGACTTCTGGTTGCTGACCACCTTCACCTTTGTAGTTTCCATGGATCACCTGTTACTCTGCACTGCTCCCTCTACAGTGTTCTTCTACATTGACCTGTGCGTGTATCATGAGGTGTGCATATATCCTTAAATAGTCCTGGAACCCCAGTTACTCAGTTCCAGTTGAATTTTACCAGGGTAGGACACAACCAGCCTTCCCCACAGCAGAAGGTTTTTGGCAGAGAAATGAGTTGGAGACCTTGCCTCCGCACCATGTGGTGCACCCCATCCTTGTGTCCTTTGTCTGGTGAGGTCTCCCCTATTCTATGATCTTCAGAGGCTGCCCACTGCTGCCAAGCAGCCACTTCCTCAGTTTGCCCCCAACTCCCTTGTTTTTAGAACAAACCCATGATTCATTCTCAGTTGCGTCTCACACACCTTTGTAATGGGTCTTTCCTCTCCCACCAAAGTCAACATGCATTTCCTCAGCGTTTTTCTGCTTTCAGGTTGTTGGCATGGAACAGAAGATGAGGAGGCCCCTTCTGAGCAGAGTTTATCTGTAGAAGCAGAGTCACAGGTCAGGGTTTCTAAGGCAGGTCTATCCACCTGGAAGATCCACCCCTGTGAGATGTGTGTCCCCATTTTAAAAGATACTTTGCACCAAGCTGAGCACCGAACAATATACTCTTTTAGGAAACCAGACTGGGGTGGTACATGTTTGAGACACTTCTGTTCCAGTGCAGACTTTCACTGGCAGCAAAAGGATGACAGTGGAGAGAAGCCCTGGGAAAGAGATGTGGAGAGGGTCTCATTTGTGAGGAGCTGCAACCTCTTTGTGTCAGGGAAGCCTTTCACCAGTAGGGAAGTTGGGGAGGACTGCCCAGCCACCTTGGGCCTTCTCCAGCACGAGGCCACAAGCAACAATGAGGAATCACAGACTGGCAGAAAGGGTGAGCAGGCCTTTCATAGTGAAAAAAGTCATTACAAGTGGGGTGAATGTGAAAAAGTTGACAGCCACAACCACAATCTTGTTCAAGATCAAAGCGTCTGCTCTAAAGAAGGACTTTATCAATGTAACAAATGTAGTAAAGGCTTCAACTGCAACTACAGACTTATTCAGCACCAGCAAATTCACACTGGACAAAGGCCAGGTAAGTGTGGTGAATGTGGGAAATTCTTTAGCCAAATCTCTGGCCTTGTTAAACACCAGAGAATTCACAGTGGTACAAAGCCTTCTGGATGCAGAGAATGTGGAAGATTATTTACCCACAACTTTAGTCTTACAAAACACCAGAGAATTCACACTGGAGAAAGGACTTGTGAATGCAGAAAAGACTTCAGTCACAAATCCAAACTCATTCACCAACAGACACAACTTACTGGAGGAATTCATTTTAAATGTGGTGAATGTAGGAAATTCTTTAGCTACAAATCCAAGCTCATTGAACACCAGAGAGTTCACACTAAAGAAAGACATCATGAATGCACCAAATGTGGGAAGACTTTTAGACACAGCTCTAGCCTTTTCCGGCACCAAAGAGTTCACACTGGAGAAAGGCCTTATGAATGCAGTGAATGTGCGAAATCTTTTTTCTACAAAAATGACCTCATTCAACACCAGAGAATTCACAGTGGAGAAAGGCCTTATGTGTGCAGTGAATGTGGAAAGTCTTTTAGAAAGTTGTCTAACCTCATCCGTCACCGGAGTGTTCATACTGGTGAAAGACCTTATGAGTGCAATGTTTGTGGAAAATTCTTTAGTCGCAGATTTGTCTTCATTGAACATCAGAGAGTTCACACTGGAGAAAGACCTTTTGAGTGCACTGAATGTGGAAAATCCTTTACCCGAAAATCTGAGCTCATTCAACATCAGAGAGTTCATTCTGGCACAAGACCTTATGAGTGCAGTGAATGTAGAAAATGTTTTAGACAACACTCTGGCCTTATTCATCACCAGAGAATTCATTCTGGAGAAAAGCCACATGAGTGTAATGAATGTGGAGAATCCTTTAGCCAAAATGCTAGCCTTATTCAACATCAGAGAGTCCATACTGGAGAAAAGCCATATGAGTGTAATGAATGTGGAAAATCCTTTAGCCGAAGTGATATTCTCATTCAACACCAGAGAGGTCACACTGGTGAGAGGCCTTATGAGTGCAGTGAATGTGAAAAATCCTTTAGCTGGAAATCTAGCCTCCTTAGACACCAGAGAGTTCACACTGGAGAAAGACCTTATGAGTGTAGTGAATGTGAGAAATCCTTTAGCTGCAAATCTAACCTCCTTAGACACCAGAGAGTTCACACTGGAGAAAAGTCTTAAATGTTCAGGGAATGTTTTATTTCCTCACTCAGGATAACAACACTGGAGGAGACTGTGTGAGAGCCATTTACCTAAATTTAAACCTCTCTAATTCAAGCATACATCATGCAAGATTCCACATAAGTTTCAGTTACATCTGCAACTTTAAGGAAATACATTGTACTTTCTAACCTGCCCAGAGCTGTTAGATTTATGTCACACTCAGTTTCTGACTGAAGCCATTTCACCTCTCTACATCAGTCACCACTCCAACAGTCTCAAGAAAACTGACCTCTGTGTTCTCACATTTGCTTAAGGAAGTTATAAATAGCCCAGACCCTTAGCCAGATCTCCATTCCTTTCTGTCTGATTTTCCAGGGAATGGACCTGACCCAGTTTTGGTTCAAAGGACCTATACTCAGCTTTCTAAGAAGAACTACCTTTTTCAGGGACATTATTGTTCTCATATCATACTAGTGGTGAATTTTTCCAGGTTCTAATTTACTAACCTGGGAACTGCTTGCTGCACATTGCTCTGGTTTGTGATCTTTTGAAAGGCCCGCTCTTGCAACTTTAATTTTGGCAGGTCTATTCTCTCATCCACAGGGGTTTGGAAGCAGAATTGTGATCGATGAGAATGTAGGAGTGAACAGATTTTGTGGGAATCCCAAACTTTGGGCTTTCTGGGACCTTATGGCAGGAAATAAATAGCTCTTTGTCCAGCTGTGGTCTAATTTGCATTGCTTCCCAAGGCCTTGCAAGAAAGACTGCAGGATCTTGTGGTCCTAATTGGTGGACTGCTGCCAGGATTTTTGGAGAGGTCGGAAAGTCACCCTAAAGAGGAGGCCGTTGTTTCGAGGACCCCCAGTGCTTCTGTGAGCAACATGAAAATTTTATTCCCTTGTTTACGTACTTCCTAGTCCCACTGAGGGGGGCTTTTCCCCAGGTTCTGTGCCATGATATACAAATTTTCATAGGCTAGTGTCATTTATTGTTGGACTATAAGGATCAGGTAGAGTCATTATTGCTGTTACTCAGCCAAACTCAAGTTCACTTGCCCAGGCATAGCACAGCCAGTCTGCTGACTCCAGGTTGTGGTGAAGTGAAGCTCAGCATTTCCTGCAGGGGACTGAGCGAGGAGAGGGCTTCCCAGGTGGCTCAGTGGTGAGGAGTTCACCTGCAATGCAGAAGACGCAGGTTCAGTCCCTAGAGCTGGAAATTCTCGTGCCCGGAGAATACCATGGACAGAGGAGCCTGGTGGGATACAGTCCATAGAGTTGCAAAGAGGCAGACATGACTGAAGGGACTGAGCACGCATATACAGAAGCAAGGAGAATAGGCAGCTAATGTTCAAAAGACCTGAACTCCCCAGTGGATTTCAGGGAAGAGTTTTTAAAGGCAACATCTGGTTTGAGTGTTGTTGCTCATGGACTTTCTTCTGATTGCTTAGTATTGAGTTAACAGGGTGATGTTTCAGTTTTCTTAATCATCAACCTGCTAGTTTCAACCAGGCTGGGGTCTGTGTGCTTGTGATCAGCACGTAGTCATCATCTTCCACCTGGGTGGGGGTCTTCATTTCCACAGAACAGCTCAAAGGTATGTGTCAGATTGTTCTATGTATCCCTTGAGGAGGAACTAGGACTGTTTTATTGCTGAGCTGTTGTTTATGATGGGCTTCCCAGGGGGCTCAGTGGTAAAGAATCCACCTGCCAAGCAGGAGACGTGGGTTTGATCCCTGGGTCGGGAAGATCCCCTGGAGAAGGAAATGGCAACCCGCTCCATACTCCTGACTGGAGAATTCCATGGACAGCGGAGCCTAGTGGCTACAGTCCATGGGGTCGCAAGAGTCAGACAGGACTTGGAGACTCAACAGCAGCAATGCCAGCATTGTTCAAGCTGTCATTACTTTTCTTTCTTGACTGCTTTTCCTTTGTTTCTATATTCCCTCACTTCCTTAATTAGGAGCTGCTTGAATCTGTTCTTTGGAACTCAGGGAAAGCCTTGGAAGCTAAAGCCTTTTTCTATCAATACTAACAAACAAGGGACATGGAGGAACTTTTATGCCCAGGAGAACCCACAGAGTCCTGCTTTTATTTGATAGTCCTCAATCCTGAGTGGAACAGGGACAGGACAAGAAAAGGAATACAATTTTGAGTAGAGATGTTAACCATAAATTTGCAGGGGAACTCAGTTTTAAAGGGGGCTGGTTTCATTGGTGCAGAAGCACCATATTATTAGGGGGTTGAGAAGACTGCAGTAAATTAGACAGAATATGCCTCTTCTGAAAGTTTATCCAGAAATGTTCCAGTGACCATATACTATGGGATCAATGTGTAAGAAATTCTTGGGACCTCTGTAACTGTATTTCCTATAGGAGAGCTTTGTGGGCTTCTATAGCATTTCTGTGCTGTTCGTCAAGGCCACTGCTCTACTGGTAAGAAAACAAAGATAGACGGGCAATCCTGTAGTCCAAGGATGTCTTTTGTGACCCAGTCAGCAGTTCTGTTGATTAAGTGGCAATATTGCTTGCCAATATTTGCTGCCACTGAGGCAAGGCTGCTTCCCAGGGCATAAGGAAAGAGGTGGTAGAGACCATACAGGGTTCCCAACCTAATTAACCAGGAGAAGTGGGACATCTAGGCTTTTATTTGGAACCACTTTTTAAGGCTTTATGAAGATTTAGCAAAGGGTAAGGTAACCCTTGAACAACATGGGTTGTATAACTGACATACTACAAAGTGCACTTACCTAATGGGTATGATTTGATCAACTTTGACATTTGTGTAAAGCTGTGAAACCATCATCACAATCATGAAAATTAAAATTTAACTCTCACATATTTACCTCATGCCCTTTTGGAATTTCATTCCCTATTCTCCTCAGCCCTACAGATAATCATTGATTCATTTACTTATTTTCCTTTATAATAGGTTAGTTTGTTATTTCTGTAATTTTAAATAGGCATCATAAGATGTATATCCTTTTTTAAAAAACTGATTTACTTCATGCTTCATGATTATCTTGTGATTCAACAATGATGCTTATATGAGTTTTTTTTTTTTTTCTAATTGCTGAGTAGTCTTCTGTTCTTTGGATAACCACCTTATTTATCCATTCATCTGTGTATGGACATTGGGTTATTTCCAGGTTTGAGGTATTACAAATAAAACTGTTTTAAATACTTGCATTCGTTCTTTGTAAGACTATGTCGTATTTCCCAGACTGTTAATTGTGTAGGTAGATGTTTAACATTTTAACACCTGCCCATCTCTGATCTAAAGCGTTTGTTCCCTTTTGTCTTTTTACTGACGGTGTATGAGAATTGCAGTTCCTGTACAACGTAGCCAAGGCTTGATATAGTTGATCTTTTAAAATTTTAGGCCTTAAAATGAGTGTGTGGTTGTAGCTCTTTGGTTTTATTTCCATTTTCCTAAGAATTCATGATGTTGGGCATTTTTTCATGCATTTATTTGCCCTCTGTTTATTTTCTTTGGTAAAATGACTACTTATAACTTTTGATTACTTTCTTTTTATGTGTTTACTTATTATTTTAACAAATAAGACAGTGTAGCAACAAACACACATGCTGGAATTCCACTCTTTCTTCAGCAATGTGACTTCTTTATCTTATGGTACAGTTGTTTTTGAATACTGGAAGGAAACTATTTGTCCTCAATTTTCTGCCCTGTGTACAACCTGAAGTCCACATGCACCATATACTTTTATATTTAATCAGCATTAACACATTCTCCACTACATTCTTCAGACTAAATATTCAGTAATACATTAAATCAGTCCTAGGTTTGTAGTCTTTGTGTTAATTTCCCTGGTGTAAATATTCATGTCATGGTCAATTTCTTTTTATCTTTTTTTTTATTATATTGTCATGGTCAATTTCAAACTCCCAAAATGGTGTCACTGAACATGAAGTTGGTAAGATATTTCAGTAGCACATTATTAATTATTTTCCAACATGCTGATACAGTAGCCACAAATAACCTCAAAAAACAGATAATAACAAAAGTGTCAAGTGATTAGAAAGTGTCATGTTTTAAATATTTGCTTTTTAAAAACAGTTTGATTTAAATTAACTTTGGGAATTCCCTGGCAGTGCAGTGATTAGGACTTGACAATTCCATGCTGTAGGCCTGGGTTCAGTGTTTGCTCAGGGAATTAAGATTCTGCAAGCTGCAAGGCAGGGCAAAATAGGTGTGTGTATGTCTGTGTCTGTGTGTGTGTTTGAGCAAAATCCAGAAGATAGTAGGGGACAGAGGACCCTGGCATGCTGCAGTCCATGGAGTCGGAAAGTTGGGTATGACTTAGTGACTGAACAACTGGATTAGCTTGAACTGTACATATTTAAAATGTACACTTTGTATTGATGTATGGCAAAACCCATCACAATACTGATAAGTAATTATCCAATTTAAATAAATAAATTTTTTAAAATGAAACACATATTTTGATATTTCCATACATGCTTGCATCCCTGAAACCAGATTTTCTCCTGCCTATTTCTGTTTATCTTTTCATTTAATTTTATGTGTGTATAAAATTATACACACATATTCTACGTTTTGTAATGGCTCTTTTCACATGTATCCATAAATAGAAAAGACTGCTATGAAACCCCATGAACACTTCCCCAGTCTTCATCATGATGTATCATTCTCATTGTTCTTTATCTCCGTGCAGATTAGCTGGTTACATTTACTTTATAATCCCAGATATGTCAGTGTATAACCTCTTCAGCATGCATTTCTAAAAATGTAAGAACTCATAATTTTAATAGTTTGGTACACAGTCTTCATACTTACAGCTCTTTTAACTGTAAATCAGCCTTTTCAGCTTCAGTTTGAAGGCTAGCAATTATCTTCTCATAATTCTTTTCAGGATCATCAAAGACAGTCTGGGTAATCCCTCTTGATACAGGATGCTT